TGGAGGTATTAGCCGCTTGTGAGAATTGCCTCTGGAAGGCTTCAGCTCCGCCGAAGCTGGGTACATGGTAAAGAAGGGCAGAGGGGTGGTAAAAATATGCAGCCAATCGAAGCCCCCTGTCGCGATCAAAGCGTTTGGGACGAAGCCAAGGCTTGAACTTTTCGCCAGGGGGTTTTATTCCGCACATGTGTTCCGCAACAGGACGCCATCCTTGGAACCACGGAGTGGGGCGATTGCTGAAGGTGCCAATTTGCTCATATCTAGTAAAGAATTTTCTTTTCCTTTCAACATGGCCGAATGTAGCTCCAGCAATATGATGGCAGCAACAATCACGTATTCCGAAGATCTGCTGAATGAAGCTCTGGTGGATGGGCTTCATAGACCCAGCATTTTCAAGGAAGATGTGCACGCACTGAAGGATACTGGGTTCAATGCTTTGGAATGCAAGCAAAATCGCGTATAAGACAAGCATGTGTTGCGAGCGGTCTCCCAGAAGTCCTAATCCACCTGAGCTGGACCCTGCAACAGTGAGATCTTGGCAGGGGGAACCGGCGGGAATGATGATGGCTTTTTTTTGTGGATGAATCCTTCCCAGGAAGGACAAACATTCACGCAGCAATCGGTAATCCTCTTTAAGTAGAGTCCAAACGTCATCAATTGCGATCGATGGCATCAACACCGAGTGCGACCTGTATGCAGTCTTCCGATGAGACAGCCTTAATTTGATTGTTCCTGCTTCCAATTTTACCATCTTTTCTCTTGGAGACAGGCTTGGCATTGTTAAGCTTATCGAGGCTTTTCTTGACTCTACGCATCTGAGAATTAGAGCTCAAGTCGGGCTTGGCTTTAAGGGGTTGACTGCCCCTATCAGAGCCATTCTTCTCAGAGTTCAGCGCAGTTTGAACTTCATGTTGTTGCGGTCTCTGTTCTTCATCGGAATCAGTAGCAATGGAGTGCACTTCAGGAAGAGATGCACTATCAAGTTGTGTCGCCAGAGCAGTACTAGGGTCGGGTTGGAGACTAACACTGGCTTGGTGTTCTGACTCCTCATCGAGTTTGCCCTTTTGGGCGAGAGTAAATTCAGTACCGCTTTTACATTCCTGTGCTTGTGGCAGAAGATGGGCACAGGACGGATTAGGCAAGCCAAAATCATCCTCTGAGGTGATGGTCATATAGGTTGCAGAAGGGACAGGGCTGTCCCAGCTTGCGACCTTCGTTATCTTAGCTCACTGGGATCAGCATGATGCCGGATAATCTCATTAAAAGAGTTAATGAGAGCAGTGGCGGGGTAAAGCTGATTGACACAAACACTTCTGATGAAGATGGCTTCAATGTAGTGCTCAGCCTTAATCAATTGTGCCCACAAATTTTCTTTACGGACTCCGTAGATTGAGTCATGAAGAAGAATTGAGTCTCCTGCTTGTTCTTTGGTATGGTGTAGCACTAGGTAGTGCTTAGCACTAGGATCATGAAGAACGAGTGCAACGACAATATATGCCTGTTGCATGACTGACACCGTACTGCCAAGAAAGCTTTGGATATCAGCCTCGCTTTTGCAGACTTGCGCAAAAGAGCTTTTCTGAGTCTTCTGTGTGAGAAGACAGAAGAAAGACGGGAGTCTTTGAATGGCAAGTTTGCACGTGTCATTGCGAGGGCTCAAGTTTTGCTGCATGCACGCAATCGGAAGGTCAGCAAGTTGACCTAGATCAGCGAGGATACTGATCTGATCAGAGGAGTCCTGTTCAGAATGCAACGGCAGAGCAAGAATGGGCTGTGGTTGCTGGCACATGGAGCACTTGCAGTGGATCTGAACAAGCATGGTGTATTGCTCCTTGGCCGGAATAGCCCAAATGGCCTTACTATACACCTCAGTAAAGCTTTGAAGCTCCAACGGTGTAGCACTTGCCAATTGAAGATAGGTCAGACCAAGTATGTGTGCAAGCTTGGCTCGAGCAGCCTCACGTATATTGTATCCAACCGCAGCAAGGACAAGAGCTGCTTGTTTAGGAAAGGGGGCGTAATGCTGGCATTGCTCTTTGTTCCATTGAGCACACGAGATGACCCGATAGGCAGCAGCAACAGGGCAATAAAGGCCAGCAATGCGCCTTTGCACTTCTTCTTGAACGTTGGCCGGGACTTCCGCCTGGAACCTTAGGACTGTATTACGTCTTCTAGCAATCTCAACCTTTTCCTTGCTACTCTCAATATTTCTTTTGCCAGTCCCACCTTCTTGACTCAACTGTGCTGAGGCAGGATTTTCCGGTAACATATTGGCAGCCGTATCATCACCTTTAACAGCAGGAGGCTTTCCATGGCACTGGGCAGTATCCGATTGCTCCATGGCAGCCTTGCTTGACTTCCCATCCTGATGATTGGCACATCTGGCTTGGCTCGGCTTATTGGCTGCAGTAGCCTTAAATCTATCATCAGTGTGGATGTTGAAAGCATAGATGACGCTAGTATTAATCCCTATCAACTTGATGATATCACATGAGTGACATCGTGGCAGGAATAGAAGCGCGCCCTGATGTAGGGAGACAAGAACATTGTTGCTCGCAGAAGATCCCGGATGACAAGCGAGATGCTGGCCGTTCTTGAGAACTAGCGGGATTTCTAGTTCAGTCTTACCAGTCATGCGGACAAGCAGGTACTGGATAGATCCCAGTTCAGCAGTAAAGTCTTCATCCTCTTGGGAAGCCTTGGGAAGGTTTTCTGGCAATCTCCAACCTTGAAAGGCTTCATTTTGGCTGAGAAATGTCTGGACACTCTGCAGCTTCACTAGTTCGGGAACATCCTCACATTTACCAGTCATAACAACGTAAGGCGCCTGTCTGTCAATGATCAGGAAATGTGTTTCAAGGTCATCCTTGTGCCAAATTGTACTAGCAATTCGTTGTTTGGACAAGGGGTGATACTCATCCCTTGCTCTGACATGGATCAATCTTCCTTGCCCAATCTTATCGCTCCCAGAGTGGCAATTCAAAAAATGTTCTCTAGGGTTCTCGGAAATGTGATTAATGGGCTTGTTGCTCCATCTTGGGGCATCAACAACCTCTTGCAGCAATTGCACTTCAGTTCTTCCACAAGGAAGGTCGAAATATTGACATTGGGTGAGCGCATCGGCAGCGGCGACAGTAGCAGTTACATGGACAGCAGGTATGACAACATCAGTGCCAGCTAATACATGTACGATTCCTCTGTATTGCACCGGAATTTTGATGTACTCGAGATCCTGAATAATGTCTTGCATGTCTCCGGTGCAATTGTGAAAGGTGATCTGCAGAGAAACCTCTGTAGAGTTGAAAGGTTGAGTCACCTTCCAAGCAAAGATTTCCTGTGAGTTCTTCACATTGCAAATGTGAAATCTTGCGGCATGCAACGCGAGGCTGTCAGGGATGGTAAGCTGCTTTTGCCGAAGACCCAAGATAGCCTTCTGCAGCTGATAGGGGTCCGCAAAGATCCTCAGATACTTCCCAGGAGCAGTGTGGAACGCATTCATAAGCCTGTGCTGATTGAGAATGCAATGCACTTGAAAGGCTTCATCCTTAGTTCGGGCAGAGTTGATAGCATATGGGAGGTCAACGAAGTTGACACTATTGCCCGGCATCCCTTCAAGAGGCGCAAAGCGATACCAGACCTGGAGCTCAATTTGTGATTTGCCTTCAGTTTGTTTGAGCACCTTATCATACATCTCTTCAACCTTCAGCATTAGAGCTTGAAGTTGACTTATGCTGATCTTAGGCGCTCTGAGGCAAACAACACATCGATTCTCCTGATCGGTTAACGCAACGATGGGTTGCTGTGGCTTCCTAATGTGAGCCAGTCCAAAGTCTCGACTGAGGTGTTTAACTTCCTCGTCAAATATTCCAACAGTGCCAGCGATAATGACTTCAGTATTGGCGGCTTCTTGCTTCATGGAAGGCGTTATGGCAATGTAGTAGCAAGTGTGATGGACAGGGTAGCTGCTGGGAATGTAAGTGACCAAATATACAAGTTCCCGCTTGCCCTGCACTTCAATGGCACCAATAACCGTCAGGCTGTGGATTTGACGAAGGAAGTCTTCATCATAACTCCTGAAGAGTACACAGGGGATGTCTGATATGGAAAGTGAGCTGTGCAAATTACTCACGATCGTTATACTCGTCTGTTGTGTAAGACCCTTCCTTAGATTGTGAAGGAAACTCTTACTTTGTCCCAAAGTTTGAACCAGAAGGCCAAGGGGTCTTGGGTTCATAAGGAAAAGCATGGCATGACATAACCCTTGCAACAAGTGTAACATGTGCACTCCGAAACGGACGTCACTTTTTCCAAGGCGTGTGTTGGGTCCCACCGATGCAGCATGCAGCCTACAGGCCTTGCACAAGAAGGTGTGCCTGGTGGCACATACAGCCAGCCACGGGCGTGGCATACTCCAGGCGTCCCAAGCCACAGGTGTGGCACAGTCAGGCATCCTTCCACTGCTCAAGTGTTACAGACCGGCACTTGCGCCTTGTGCTCTCAGGGCGGAGAGGGTGGGTAACAAAATTTTTTATGCTTGCGCCACAAAGGCAACGAGGCCTGACATTTCACAAGTCAATGCATGCTGCAAAAACCATCTTGTGCGCATCTGAAGAATCCGAAGCGAGAAGCAACTTTCAAAGGACTTTTCAAAGCACAAGTTTTCCCCCATCCCAGCCCGCCCTAGTTCAAACAGAGGGACAATCCCGTTGGGGGAACCCAAGTGGTTTGTCCCAAAGTTTGAACCAGAAGGCCAAGGGGTCTTGGGTTCATAAGGAAAAGCATGGCGTGACATAACCCTTGCAACAAGTGTAACATGTGCACTCCGAAACGGACGTCACTTTTTCCAAGGCGTGTGTTGGGTCCCACCGATGCAGCATGCAGCCTACAGGCCTTGCACAAGAAGGTGTGCCTGGTGGCACATACAGCCAGCCACGGGCGTGGCATACTCCAGGCGTCCCCCCTTTAGCAGAGCATGCCGCGCCAGTGAGCCCAACCCAAACCTACCATTCCGTTTTGTCAAGCAACTTCTGCCTCTTAGTGGCCTTAGGCTCAATTTTCTTAGCAGCCGACATGGCTGCCCGTTCATCCCTGAAGGATTCGTAGTGCTCATGCAACTCGTGAAACAATCCCATTGGCAAATCTTTCAACGCAACTGTCACCCTTTTTGAAGGAACAAAGCTTTCCGTTTTCAAGTTAGTCAAATCGTCAGCATCCTGATTTTCTTCCCGTGGCCTCCAGGCAAGCTTGCAAACCTTATTAGCTTCACGAAGGGCAACCGACAACTGCATGTGGATCCCTTGCACGGGCCACTTGTTAGATAAACCCTTTGCAGCGATGGCCGGGGTGGCTTTGTTGTCAGTTCCACCGCACACCTGCATCTTCAAGGAGTCCCGCCCGGCAGATTTCTTCAAATGCCCGAATGCATGAAGCCCGACATATGAGCCGAGCAGCTCCGCGGCAGTGGAGGCCCACTCGGACGACCCATCAGGTTTGAAGAGTGCTGGCAAGTCATTAGGGAAAACCTCCAAAGCAAACCACGGTGCTTGCCTAGTATCAACCCCATGATCTAAGGACCAGCCCCCCAACACAATGCGCCCCCTTTCGCACTTAGCATCAGTCCGAAATGCCTGCCTCTGTTGCGCTGGCCAGGTCATGTGCACAGAATCAAGTCGAGCTCCTGATGAAAATTGGTGGCGGAAAAATCGAAGGACTAGCATCACCATCTCGGGTAGGCGCGCCACTGCGCTGCGGCTGAGCACCCCGTTCCAAGCAAACAATGGTGCCAGGAAAGGTTTCAACCAAGTGATCATGCGTGTCACAAAGTTGAGACGTCCGGTGAACTCCACCAGCCGCCTGCCAGACACCATCCACCCGTCGGCTTCCACTCGATCGATCCATTCAACGATCCAGGATGCCCGCTTCTCCGAAATGCCAGCTGCCCACGTGAAGTAGCTGAGGTGATATCCAATGTAGTCCACTTCCACTCCCCCTTTGAACTTGTGAAAAGAGAAAGGAGTCCCCATCACTTCAAGGGCCAAGAAAAGCAGCCATAGGGTATCGTACTTATCGCAGCCAAACACCACGACGTGGAGATCATCCACGTAGATCAACATGTAGAATTGGTCCAAGGAAAGGACCCGGAAAGTCCACCGTCCAACGGCTCCGAAAAGGCGCGACCAGTAGTATGCGGCAGAGCATGGCCAATCGGCCTCCCGCACCTTTACGCGTCGGTGCGCCTGGCTGATGTCGGCGCATAGGGTTGCTCTCCTTGACGCGTGCTGCCACCTCTTGAAGGTCTTCTGGTCCAGGAACCTGCAGTTTGTCTGTGATCACGATCCGGTTGTTTAGGTTGATGCCATGGGTGCCGTCATGTAGCGGCCGCACATCACCATTAGCTTTGGTCACTGCTCCCATCGCAGCGATCAGCACAGCGTCCTCTCCATATTTCTTCTTAGCCTCAGCTTCCGTGGTGCAGATCATCAGGCCTTCCCGTTCGTCTTGACGAAACTTCTCTTCCAACTGTTCAGCATTTAGTTCGGCTGACCGGTAGTTCACCATGGAGGGATCAAACTCGGTCTCGTCAAGCTTCCGGAAGTGCGTCCTCTTCGGGAACACCTGAGGAGCCCTGCCGATGGGCTTATCCCAACCAAGGGGCACCCCTTCTGCAAACGAGTCCTTCCCTTGGTCCAGGATTGCATAGTCAGGATCCCCAAACACCCGGAGCGACTGGGAAAGCATGTGCAACATGAAAGGTTGTCCTTGGGGAATCTGCATTGCCTGCTCAGGGTCTGGCAACAAAGCAGCAATCCGTTCCCTGACCTTAGCGATGGTGCTACGTGAAAATGGTGAGCTCTCCATCTTCCCCGTGGCAAGCATGAAGGCAGCTTTCTTCCTGTCGGGGATGGCCTCCCGCAGCGCACTGACAAGAATCCTGCGTATGCTAAGTGAATGGCTGTGCTCAATGTCGGAAGCTAATGCCCCACGTGACTTCGGTCGCCACCTCCCCGGGGAGCACAAGCCAAATCCATCCACAAGTTCACGCCGGACCTGTGTGTGCCGACAACGCAAGGCCGGCCCACTGCAACGGGATGTGCGTGGGTCAAACTCTTGGGGGTCACCAACGTCCTCGCCATCGGGTTGGTCGGAAAGGGGAGCCTCAGGTGCCAGCAGGATGGTCCCTCCTGTTGGGGTGCTATGCGGGGCCTCCAGAAGGGTTCCTCCTGTAGGGGTGCAAACCGAAGGGTCCCTAGACTAGAAAGCCAAACCAGGTGCCTCCAGGATGGTCCCTCCTGAAGGGGTGCCAAGGATGGGGCCCGGGGCCTCCAGGATGGTCCCTCCTGAAGCGGTGCTAGAGCCAGGATCAGGTGCCTCCAGGATGGTCCCTCCTGAAGGGGTGTTAGCAGCGTGGAGTTCATGTTGCTGTAATGCCATCGCCGGCACCGCTTCGGCCTCCCGATCAGCGAGCCCCTCCCCCCCTTGCTGTGGCAGGTGAGCAGATGGGGGAAGGACGAAGCCCAAAGAGAGGAGGTTATCACGCATGAGCGGTGACAGCGAGTGAAGGCGGGTGACTGTGAATCCAACTAAGAGAACTCGATCACCAGTCCACGCCTCGGTTTGATGGAAGCAGTTGTGAGCCTGGAGCTCCTGCGGAGCCCGGGCCACTGGGAGAAGAACGCCTTTGCGCGGGATGCCGCGAACCATGCGCACGACATGACCGTGGCTGCTTTCCATCCAAACCTGCCCATCTTGGAAAGTGGTCAATGCAAGAAGCAAGTTTGGATAAGGCGCGTTGTGCACGTCTTTGTGCATAGTACTCTTGACGTTATTGAACACCACAAGAGAACTAAAGGGCTTGTTGGGGAAGGCATCACGCAGGAGCAAGGTGAGGCACTTAAGGGACTGAGGGAACAGCCGGCAAGAACGGCGCAAACCCGTGACGCCACCCTTAGTGTAGGCTCCGCCGAAGAAGGCCTTGCCGCCACTTTGCTCCGGGGCCGCATCTGCCACTGCTGCCGGATGCGGTGCTTCGTATTCGAGCAGGCGGGCCAGAGCTTCTCCATCATGTTTCCCAAGCTTACGCGAATCGGACTGCTCTAGCAAGCATGTGGCGAACTGTTCAGCCGGATGGCCGACGTCGTCTGTAGCGCGCCCAGACATCTGCCAATCACATGCCATCTGCACCACATGTTCACAGAAGGCCAACGGAAGAGGTGTGTCCGTTTTCCAACTTCCATCGTGCGCTATGCCGGCGCCACCATGATGCAAATGCTCGCACCGGCCAATTGGCCCTACATAGGACCCTGTTGCATCGAACTGCGGCCATCTGAGCTGCGCCTCAGGGCCTGCTAAATTGGTTGCCAGCCTCGTGGGGTGAGGGAGATCGCCCCCGAAAGTGCACATGTGTACTGCCCATGTTGCCGCATGTTCATCACCTTCCACAAATGCACGAAGCTCATCAAGTTGCCAAATGCTAGCTGGTCTTTGACCCGAATGTAAAGCACCCAGATCTTCTGGATGGACGAGTAGCCAACCCATGCCCGATTTGATTGCCGCTTTGATTACGTTGAAAGACTGCCGCAAGTAAAAATTTTCTCGATCAACAGCGGCACGCGACCTCTCTGCCAACCAAGGAAAACCAAAAGGATAAGTGTGCGACCTGGAAGGACCAGGCCCATGCCGCCCTGTCCTGCGGCGCTCTCTTGCACGACTGAACGTCTTGCAAGGCGGCGAAAGCAAAACAATATCCCATGAATGTTCATGAATCTCGGTGAAAATGCGATCCCATGCCTCTGGTTTAAACCATGCATCATCATCGCAATCAAGCAGGAAGCCAACCTTAAGCTCGCTCCCTGTCCTCTGTGCTGCATTCTTAAAACACACATGCATCTGCTCGTTTGCGCCGTGACTGCCGAAGCCCACCAAGACCCTGAGTCAGTGCTTCGGAGCATCCGTTGTCTTGCCAGAGTGATGCTGTTGCCAATGTTGCCACGTAGGATGTGGCCCGTGGCATCCTTTGACCATGCAGCAGTGTACCATGCCGCAGTTTCCATCACATCCTGGCCCGGAGTAGTCAAAGCAGATCCACCTCCCGTCTGGCGTTCGAGTGGTGGTGACGCTCTCACGCTTCCCTTTGCCAGGACCCTTTGGGTCCTTTCCTTTCTTGTCCTTGCCCTTTTGATCGCCACGTCCTTTGTCATCTCCTTTGCGCGGTGTGCCTTTGCCCCAGCCAGCTCCTTTTCGCCAGGTGTCCCGGTGCCATTTTCCATCATCGTGCTGGCCATCCCATTGATCACTGCCACGCTTTCCTCTGTTTTGCAGCGCTATGGGAGCTGTGAAATACTGTTCTTTCAACTGTGCATCATCTGTCACCTCCCGAAGGGTCTCGCGCAAGGGGCGGGAATCACGAAAGGCTCTCTTGATCGCTTCTTTCCTCAACTCGTATTCATAGTTGAGGATCACCACCCATGGCGGTTTCAGTGGGATTTGATCCATCTTCCCGCCCTTTCCGGTGACCGGGACCTGCAGCAAGTACACCCGTTCTCCAAGCAAGTAGTTTGCATATCCCAGCCAAGCATCTGGCCCCATGCCTTGGAAAAAGATCTTGTTCTTGTACTTGGATGCCAAAAATGTCCACATATTGCCCTCAACTCTCAGCACCGTTCTCAGCTCTTCTGTATGTGAGGGCATTACCCCTTTGTTCTTCTGTTTGACGATCCTGACATGACCTCCAGTATCCACTGTCGTCTGTATCCCCATGGTCTTCACCTTCTTCTTGGATGTCACTTCAGAAAGGGCACTAGCGGTGATCTCGCCACTCTCGACCTCCTCAAGCTTTGCAGAGATGTAGTCGTCGGAAGGCTCGAATGCCTCCTCGAGCGTCCCGTGGGCTGCCTCATACGCAACCCTCATAGCCTGCTTCTCAGTCTGCGTCACTGGTCTGCTGACGCCCAGCATGCGCGCCTCTGCCCTCAACTCCGTTTCCTTGCTTGCGACCTCGCGCGATGTCTCCCAGGCTGAAACTACTGCTGCAACGACAGCTCTGCTCGCCTGGTCCGTGGCCTCCAACTGGTGATCATCTTTCAAAGCAGTGCGCACTTCGCCCCGTGTGTCAGCGTATGTCGAGAATCGCATCACTGATTTGAAGTTTTGTCCCAATCGATACTGCAATCCCAAAGGCATTCCGCATTCTTGGAAAATATGCACCAGATCAGAACTTACCTGCTTATCAAGAAAATCAAGGGCTTGGTCCTGGGTGACCCCTGTTGGCAACTCTGCTGGCCCAGGAGCCGGCGCCGCTCCGGCCATTGCACCAGGTGCTTCTCAGCACAGCGTCCCCGCACCTCAGCACATGCACAGTGGACCTATGAAAGAAGCAGAAAATCCCGGAAAATTCGAGCCATCAATCTGCGTACGAACCTCACAAGTGCACCTCCAACAGTGATCGCAACCCCGTTGCAGGAGGTCAGGCACTACAAGCTCGTCTAGATGCTGTCCCCTCCCCAGCAATCTCACTCTTTAATGCGTGCTCTCCTTCCGGCACGTCTTGCTCCAATCGAGCACTGCGCTCTGCTGCCTCCTGCAGAGCTTCCTACCAAGAATCCAAGTGTCAGGCGCCTCCAGCCCAAGGTGCAAATCAGAGATCCTGATCATGCCCAGAGCCTCCAGCCAAGGGCCCGAGCCCAAGGCCTCCACCGAAAGGCTCTGGCTCAAGAGCCTCCTGCTCACCCTCAACAGCGTCCTCCGAGCCACTAGTTGAAGACTCTTCGCCTATCTCCACCCGCGGCTTGCACAGCTTACACATCGCGTCAGCAATGCCCTCTCCAAGGTGGAAAACTGGAATGGTCTCGAGGCACCTCTCTCTAGGAATATGGCTCATTGATAGTGGAGCCACCTGCCACGTGTTGTCAGAGAGTGCGTTGGGTTTTTACGAAGTCGTCAAGGAGCATTCGGGACCTCTTCCTGTGCTCATGAGTGCTAGCGATACGCCCATGGAATGTGTCAAGTTGGTTGACATTCGGGTGAAGTTTGGGAAGTTGGGGCCCGTAGTGCTTCAACAGGTCTTGGTTTGCAAGATTGGTTTCAACGTAGTCAGTTCTTGGCAAGCATCCCTTTCGGGATGGAGTACCTGGCTCACCTCAGAGCCTGGAGCAAGCTGCTTGGTGAAGCAGACGGAACGAGGTTCCTCGATGTGGGTGCCTTTGGTTCGTGAAGCCAGGAGCTGGTGGGCGTTGGTTAAGGAGATTGGCCCTACCAAGGCAAAGCCGAAAGGAAGAAGAAGCAAAGGGGGCTCACCCAAGCCGGGGTGGAGCCCGAACGACGACGCGATGGAAGTGGATAAGGTGCAGAAGAAGGCACCGCCCAACGTAGGAAGAGCATTGGAGGTGACACCTTTTAAGTTTTTGCTGCGAGCATTTTCAGTGAAGCAACATGTGGGGGAACACGAGCTGCATGAGCATGTTTTACAGGAGCGTTTGAGTGGATGTGAGCATGCTGCAGTTGCAAAAGTAGGAGTAGACCTGGAAACCCCACCCTCTGCATGTTGTGCTGAAGCTTTATGTTCCGCCGCAGCTGTTTTGCTTAAGTCTGCAAGCAACACGTCTTTGGAGAAGCAAACCAGTAGGGACACACGCTGTGGAGACAAGGGTTTTGAGTGCGTAGGGGTAGGGCCTGTGCCGCTCCAGCCTCAGAGTGTTTGCATTAGGAGTAGGAGTGTCTTGCGTGTAGGACGTAGGAGTGACTTGCACCCCAGCGCTTGTGTGCCTGAGTGTTTGTTGGGACAGAGTGAAGAGAGGAAGTGTGCCTTTCGGAGCTTGCGTTGGCCAGGAGTGTTTCTGAAAGCATTGCTGGTGTTGTGTGCTCTAGGAGTGTTTTGCTCAAAGCCTGGAGCCTTTGTAAGGGACCTTGGAAAGGATGGAGCTTCCGGAAGCCTCGCCTCCGCTCTGTCTTGTGAACTCCCAAAGTGGGAGTGTGGCCCAGGTGGAAGCCTTTTCGACGAGCATGATTGCTCGTCTTGCGCACCGTTTCGAGGAGGAAGGTCAGCTGTCTCTTTCGAGGCAGCTTCTCCAAAACATCGACCTTTTTACCTCGACCCCTGGCTCGGTCGAACGGCTGTTGGGGATTCCAGCCTGCCTTGGGGAGTTGGAGACACAGGAGTTGGTGATCAATACAAGCGGCATTCCGGTGAAGCAACCTATGCTCATTGCCGAGCTGCGAGCCATTGCTGCTCCGACGGTGGACCAGTCGGTTTTGACGGACACCCTCGTCGAGGAGCACGACCGTCGTGCAGAGTATGCAAGGTATGGCTATGTTTTGACCACCATGGGGGTGGTAGTTGCCGATGTGAGTGCTACCATCCGCCAACCGCACCTTCCATGCGAGCAAAGGGGGTACTGGCGCAACAATCAGGTTGGCATCCAGCTCACCTTGAAGAAATTCCTTCTGTACCTGGAGGCGATTCGAGAGTTGCGGTGCCATCCTGCTCAATACCAGTTGTTCGAGGCAGGGCTAGCAAGCATTCTGCCAAACGAGCTCAAGGTCGAGCGTGTGCCGGCTGCCGACTTGAGAGCGCTTTTGGCGGACGTGCTCGTCCAGAGCAACCGCCGGGTGACTTTGGCTGCTCAACCGCCAACTATAATACCGGATGTTGCACCATCCGCGTCGGGTGGCACGGCACCGCCTCTTCACAAAAGTGCCCCAGCTCCACCTCCTTCGGGGTGGGCTTTGCTCAACCAAGCGCGTGCAAAAGCCGAGGCAATGATTCGATTGCATGCCGACATGAAGAGAGCTGCAACAGCCGAGGTGGCTCCATCATCGTCGACGGGCCCCGCTTTTCCACCAGGGCCTCCGGCTTTCTTGCCGTTCAGCCCTCCTTCCCCGCTTACGCCGTCCGTCTTTTCCTATGCTCCATCTTCGGCACCAGGCACGCCTATGGAAGCAGGCATGCCTCTAACTCCGCCTCCTCTACCTCCTCCATCTTGGGCACCAGGCACGCCTATGGAAGCAAGTCTGCCTATACCTCCGCCTCCTCTACCTCCTCCATCGACACCGCACCCAGATACATTGAGGGAGCTTGCGGGCGAGGTTCCAATGGAGGTCGAGACGCCGATGACGCCCGTGGAGGCATTCGGTGCCCCTGGGACCCCTATGGACGTGAGTTCCGAGGTCCCAATGGAGCCAATGGTCGGTGGCATTGGAAGTCCGGGGAGCGCTTCTCCTTTGACCCCGCCGGCAGAGACGAGTATGGTGGTTCCAAACCCACCTATGGACAATTCGGATGTGGGAGACTCTGGCTCCGAGATGGATTGATATGCTTGGGTATGGGCCCTGAGGGCCTAAAAGCCGGGCATGAGTTGCTCCGATCTTCGCCGCAATGCACAAAATTGGTAGGAGTAGGTCTGAAAGCCCTGCTGTTTGCAGTAGGAGACTGGCTGTGTGCATTAGGAGGTAGGGTAGGAGCGTTTGAGTGCTTGGTAGGTGACTGTGAGTGCAGCCTGCCTGCCGCGAATGGGTCTGCACACTGTCCCTCTGTGCCCAGGTCTTCATGGAAAGGAAGCAGTGCCTTGGCTTTAGGGTTGGTTCTGGGTTTGGTTTTCAGAGGTTGGCTGCGTAGGTGCGTGAAGCTTTTGAGTGTGCGCCGTAGGAGTAGGTTGAAGTTTGTGCGTGTAACTTTGGTAGGACGTGTGCCACGTAGGTCTTGGAGTGTTGTGCGCCGCCTGTTGTTTTTGCGTGGCGTGCTTGCTTGTGAGTTGAAAGCTGAGCCTACGGGCGAGGAAGCAAAAGGGCCAATGATGAAACGTTGGCGTGCCTTTAAGAAGTGGGCCTTGTGTGGGCTTCGGTCCCTGCGGGGGTCCGAGCAAAAGAAGGCCGTGGCACGTTCTGAGGCCCTGCGTATGCTTGCTGGTTTGCCGACCCCGGTTGTTGTGAATTCGGAGTCGGAGGAAGAGTTGATTCCTGATCCGTTGGAAGCTGAACTTGCGAAACCCAGCGGAAGTGAACCCCCTAGGCCCTCCGATGTTCGAAAGAAACCCCGTGTGGAGAATGTTCCCTCAGGTGAACCGGGTGCCCTGAGTTCCCCGGAGGTGGTGAGCGATGCTCTGGATCCTGAGGTTCCGGTCTATTTGACCTCGGAGCGGCTGAAGGCGCACCGAAATAAGGGCCACCAACCTTATCTTAGTTGCTGTGACACATGTCAAAGCGCTAGAGGGAGAGTGCCGGCTCGTAGGAAGCACATGAAACACCACCACGGACCCGGAGAGTTGCAAGTCGACTTTGGATTTTTCGGAAAGAATGTTCGTTTCCTTCTCATGGTTCATGTGGTGTCGGGGTACATACATACCGTGGTCTTAGGACCTGAGGATGAAGTGCCCGCTGTATCGGTTTGCAAAGCCTTTACGGAAATGGGATTGAGTGGATTGGACATTGTTGTCCACGGGGACCAAGAAAATCTCCTCGAGAGTGTTTTCCGCAATGCAGCGAAACACCGGACATTCGGGGGGAGGTCAATGCACTGGGTCCCGTTCGCGATAAACAGACCTCAAGCGAAGGGCATCGTTGAACGCCATGTTTGCCTTGTGAAAGAAGCGTTCTGGTCTGTTTGGCTGGGCTTAGAAGAGCGTGTAGGTGAAAAGTTGCCTCTAGGGAGCCATCTGTTTGTTGAGGCCATGAGGTACTCTGTGAGGATGCATAACTTGTTTCATGTGTCCAAGGAACACAGCACGCCGTTGGAGAGACTGCGTGGGTCGACAGTTCAGCCAGTGAAGAGCTGTGAGTTTGGGGTTGTGGGTTTTGGGAAGCCTCAGAAGGACTACCCAGAGCACCGCGGAAAGCGCTTGGTGAGGGCACTCTATGTAGGACCTCACGGTGCTAATGGATCCGGGATTCGGGTCTTTGTTCCAATAGGTATTGGAAAGCCCCCTCGTTTGGAAATCTTCAGCTCTTTTCGTGCCAAAGATCCAGTGGAGTTTGACAAAGCTGCTTTGCGTGACCTTCGAGGTAATAAGGAAGACCCTGAAAGACCCATCAAGTTCGATGTTCCAATCGATGGTCCGAGTCCGCCGCTTGATTCCCCAAATCTCCCTGAAGGAAGTCTTGAGTTTCCTGTTGAACGCACCGAACCACCTGCTCTTGAGGGCCCTGAAGCAATGGAAGAAGAAGGAGAGTTGGATGGGTATTCTCCGGATTTTTCGGACGTGCCTGAAGAAACAGGCATGGAGGTTGAGCCTCCCGGAGGCGTAGGTCTTGAGGACCTCGACGCCCCTATGGATCCAGGAGAAGACGATGCCATGGAAGAGGGCCTGACGTGGCTC